GGGCAAGCTCCACGGGAAGACATCTACATCTGTATCTGTATCTGACATCTGTATCTACAGTGATTCAAGAGGGCGGGTTTTATAACAGTCCAGGATCAGTGAGGGGTGTAACCAAGGCACTTTTGAGGGGTCGCAGTGACACAGGGATTTCTGCATCGTCTGATGTACCCTGCACCGTGTGGAAAAGAGCAGAAGAGCGGATGCCGAGCAGCGGACTGCTGAGTTGGGCTCATAGTCTTGTTCGCTGTGGATGAATAGGCGTGTCGGGCGGGATGGGTTTTGCGCGGCGTCAAACATATTTTCTACCAGTTGTTGAAGCGAGCAAGCGACAACAGTGTATCATATCGTTTGTATCAGTCGTTTTCCACCAACTGTTGTCGCATACTCGCTTCAGCTATGGCAGAAAACGAGTTTGGCGTCACCTCCAACCTATCCCGCCTGACACGCCCCTTTATTCGCAGCGAAAGATGCTGTAATTTAGCTATGTTTCACCTGCTACCTAGCTATTCTGCGTAGATTTGTGGGTTTCTTAATGTCTTTCTACTGCAGTCGTCCACTTTTACGTTTTTAGCTCTTTATTCATTTCTTTTCTTCCTTCTTCCTTTCCTCTTTCTTTCTCTTCTCACTTCGAAACTTCGGCCAAACGATTTAAGGAGAAAGTGCACCTGGTCACTCGCAACACGAGAAATTCTGGTTGAAAGGTGCCGTGTAATAGCGCATTCATACTTTGTGGCCGCGTTTTGAACGTCCACCAGCGTTCCCAGCGAATAAGAAAGTATAGGTATCGATTATCGCGGAGACGCTAGCGGTCCCAATGCGCTAGATCAATACCTATACTTTCCTAGTCACCGAAGACGCTTGCGTGCGCTGGAAACGTTGACGCTCGTAAAGCAGCGTTCACATTTCGCGACGACAGCGCTTCGGTCGCGCCGACGCGATCGATGCAGTTGAAAGCATGCGCATCGATCGCGTCGAACGCGCGACCGAAGCGCTGTCGTCGCGAAGTCTGAACAATGCCTAAAGGGTTGAATGCCTGGCAGAAGCTCAAAATACAGGATCGATACCTATACTTCGTAGTCGCTCGAAACACTCGAAACGCTGACAGAAGTTCGAACGCTGCAGCAAAGTATGAACGCTCTTCATCCATGCAGTACGAGATGATAGTGGCTACCAACGTTATTTCCATGTACAAGAATAATTAACGTTTCCCTGATTTAGCACTAGTGACGTCTCCTTATCTTGGTCTCGATCACATGAATAAGTCTCGTGGAGCTCGTGGATCACACGCTGCCGAAAAGGCGATTGTCATTCATAACTAATTTCCGAATGAGTCTTTACAACGGCAAAATTTGAAATGAAAACATCAGCGCTACTACGGAGCATCTTACGGTTCATCTTCAGCTCTAAAACGTGTTCATATTTATGCCTAATATAATTTTCTCATTCGTCTATTTGATTTATGATTGTAAATTGTCATCGTATTCGGTGTAGTTCCGAATTGTCGATATCATACCGTATTCTTGTCGATTAGTAGCGTTATGGTCTTGATTGTACAGAGTTGTCGTGTTTCATAAATGATCATCTGAATTTGTTAAGAAGAAAAGAAAGTCGTCTATACCTGTAATATTGCTGTATGTTTGTGTAATTTTTCCGAACAAAAAAATGAAATCGAATATTCGACCGCCACCTGCTTTCCTGTGTGTCTGAGTGTAGATGCGTGAGCTTCACTCACCGGTGTCTATGTCTAGCCTTTCTTGGTCATCGCATGCACTCACTAACGTTATCGAAGATGATTACTGTTACAGAATACGTACACAAATGTCTGTCATCGCAATTCTAGTGAAAAACCCGGCTTTTATCGTTGCTGCACTCGAACGGATAGGCCCAGCACCGACTAGGTCACATTCATACTACTATAACTTTCCTTTGTCAAATCGTGTAAAGATATAGGGCGCCATTCGCTGTTGTATCCTCTATTTTCACGCACTCATGCTGTTTTTTTGGAATGTGAATAAAGATTATTCGAGTTTGGTCTTCTGTTCAAGATACGGTAAAAAAAGCGTTACCCCACTCATACTGAGGACAAATGGCCTCATTTTGAAAGGTCTTTGACTAGCTACTAGCTTTGTGGGCTAGGGCGCCAGACAGGGATATGGCGGAGGTATGTGACCGTAGGACCACGCGGCGTCGCGCGCGACAGTCGCAAGTATCGTATGCTGGGGGTCGCTTTGTTGTCGCAGCAGCGACATTTCATTGCTGTCTTTCGAACAGCTCCTCACTGCCTTAACAGTCACGCGATTAATATATTGATAGATATTGAGCTATCGGCCTGATCCTGCATAGTTCTGATGTTTTTTCACAATATTCAATAGTAAGCTCGTATGAAATTTCAATTGGTAAGCTTTCGCCTGGTGATAACAGCCTCTTCAGACCTTCCAAATAAAACCCATATGGCATAGGCATAGCTACTATTCAATCTTATAACAAATCAACTGATCAAAGTACTAACCAGACTGGGCTCCCTCTTAACAATATAGTCGCTAAGGTCTGTAATACAACATAGTAAAAGCCTACACTCCTTTACAAACCATCATATGTTAACGACCTACCCCTGACCGACCACCAGTGCAACTAAAAGTCCCTATGCGGAATTTTCCTTAACACGAAGGTCCGGATAAGCCATGGCAATAAGGAGATCGAATGGTACAAGAAACCGATGTCAAAGAATATCCTTCTGCATTCTCGAAGTGCGCAGGGCAGTCCACTTTTAGTCACTGAAGGTCTAACCGTGATAAGGAAGCCCCTTGATGCTGAACGTCAAAGTACGCTGACATGCACAAGAGAACGAGAAGCAGGTGGATTCGAGAATAGCGAAGATTTTGGAAGAAGAGGGATTACAGCGCCGACGATCGAGCCAAGACATGGCGACCTTCTTTGTGCTAGTGGAGGGAGTACCGATTGGTTTTAGGCCAAATATATCGACGAAAGAATAATGGCACAAGAAAGTGAATCACAAGGCTATCCAAGTCGTCGGCATCTTCCAGTCAAGCTTATATTCCGGCCAGCCCGATACATCTGCCGAACCTTGGCTATACATCATCCGCCGTATTCTATGAAGATCTAATGATTGGCCGCAGTAGTGTTGCTTGAGTCTGTCGCGCGACCATAAAGTCTGACCAGCGTACGGTGGACATAGTTCTAAGCTTTGGTCCACATGCGAAGGATCATCGAAAGGTATTTGGGAGAAACGAGTATCGTACGCGTTATAGTAAAGCAATGGACGAACAGCGGTCGCGGCGCGAGGCCTTGGCCAAAGTCGCTTCCGTCTTACCCCAGAAGCGGATTCTCGCGGCATCGCACGATCTTTCATCAACAAGAAGCCCCTCCCCGCCTAAAAGTCACGGTTTTGCACCGCTCGAAGGAAAGCCCATTAGAAAGGAAACTGCTCGAGGCGATCGCTATCAAGCGATTATCCCCCGAAATAAACAACAGGGACGAGCTGATGGAGGCAATGAGGCTGATTGCATAGCATTGGGTGATAAGGGGGGAAGTCGCTAGGCGTGATTGTCCAGGGCGCAGTCGGCAGTCGTAGGAAGCTTTTAGTTGCATGCTGGTGGTCGGTTCAGGGGTAGGTCTCGTTAGCAGTATATGGTCTTGTAATTGAGTGTAGGCTTTTACTATGTTGCTTATTTAACAGGCCTTAAAGCGACTGAATATTGGTTGAGAGGGAGCCAGTCTGGTTAGTACTGTTGATTCAGTTTGATTGTTATAGCAAGGAATTGAATATAATGTTATGCTTGTTTGTATTTTGAGGTCTGAGAAGTGCTGTTATACGGGCGAAAGGCTTGTAGCGGCACAAAATGAAAATTTCTCATATCGAGTACTTCATATGGAATAATTGTTGAAGAAAACAGTTAGTACGATTAAGTAGAAGTCTCTGAAGTATACTGTCTCAGCGAAAGCATTGGCAGAACTCAAATGTTTAGCGACTGGCGGGCCATGACTTTGGCCGCGTGTTCTGCTAGCGTCACCAGCGTTCCAGCGCCGAGAATATAGAGTATGGGGAAATAGTAGGGTAGCAAGCAGCTGCATCAAGGTTCGTACAGTTGCGGTGGCTAAAACTGCACCGCGCAACAGCTGAGCACAGAATTATGCAATTTATACCTGTACGGTGTAGTGTTGTGGCAATTTGGCGCACGCCGCAACTTTCACGCACGTCCTAAATTCAGGCTGTTAAGCTTATCGTCCTCCTAACTTGCCCATGCTCTCTGCTCGGCGGCGTTGTTGATGGACGTTGGTAGGTTGGGCTGGTCAGCACGCTAGATCGTATCCTATAATTGCCTGCAGCCGCCTAGAGTGTCTGTGGACACTTGCTAGACGATCGGTGGATCGTTGCAAGACGTACATCGCTATCTGTAGCTATCCATAGTCCTGACGCGCAGACGTTTGGATGGCTAGTGGGTCGCTTCTGTGTCACGCTGGTAGACTGGGCCGAGGTGGACGCTGCCGCCGCAAAGTATGAACGCAGATTCAAGAATCAGCAGGTAAGGTAGGACCTGGATTGACGGTCATGACAATCCAGATCCTACCAGAGTGAAGAGCATGGATGAGAAACGAAGCGAACACAATCTAATTCAATAACGCAATGAGTTTATCGCGAGCGTGCGCTCCATTGCAAGCCCGCGGTGTTTGCAGATTGCCGCGCACGCGACATCGCGCGGTCCTAAATACCGTGTCCTGGGGATGGACAAAACAAACGCAACATGCTGCGCCCGTCGCCGGCGGCGCATCTTACAGCGGTGCGCTGCAAATTTTCGGTGTGCATCAGCCCGTGACTGGACTAGCGAAGCTTGTGCGAAATTGAGCCAAGGCAAGATTCAGCCGGTGCATCAGTCTTTCTCGTTCCTAAGACATTCAAAATCGATCGGCGTGCAGAGCAACTCGTCTCTCGCGTGGGAGGCGTCGCTCGCCACGGACAGAGCGGCACATTATGGTTTTCTTGTCACATACCCAACCAGACATTGCGCGCTTAGCGGCATCTCTAACGTGGGCAAGGCACGAACTGAAATACTGGGAAAACAGCTCATTTCACCCTGGTGGAGGCATAAAATAGTTCTAAGCGAAGCTTGTACAGGCTACCATGTGAAGACCAGTGAAGTCCTGCAACCAAGGTGGCGAAGGTAATAAGTGTACGCTTACAAGCGAAAGGTCCCAGAGAGCTACGGTGATCCAGTATGAGATGCACACTGCGGCATGCTTTCTTGAGTTTTAATCTCAAATATGCCTTTCTAATTTGTTTAATGATTCTCTGAAAGGAATTCCGAAGGTTTTTACCCCGTTGTCTTGCACGCTATGTCAGGAAGCGCCATTATGTAGCGAACGAGGGGACTGGCTTGCAACATGAGTACAGCAGGGCATACTGCCGTGTATGCCACTAGATGAGCCAATTGATGGACACTATTCAGCAAATACTACCCCGAAATCTCAAAAATTGTGACTATGATGGTTATTTAGTGCAGTGCTCACGAGAGTGACCCAGCTCCGAAAACGAGTGTCAAAACGACGGTTTTTTGACGCTCAATTACCAATATAGCATTCAATTTAGCGTCAGCGCCGTTTGGCGTCAGCAACTTTTTCAACAAAATCGATTTAGTTTGCATACTGGGGTCGTTTGGAATTTTTGTTGGGAATTTATTCTTTTTCAACGCGTGGGGCCATACGGGGCCAGAACGGTGGCGGTGTTAACCTGGCGCTACAACTTACCAAGAAGTTCGCCTCAAACTTGAACTGGGGTCACTTTTATTTTATACCGTGAAGTCCGGTAGATACGTCCACCATTAGGTAAGTGCGCGCGACGTCACGAACGCCACGCGTGCGAACACTAAAAGGGAGGCTGTGAATTCAGATCATTTGTTATTTTCTGAAAAATAAGACTACGAAAGGGCATTTTCCGCATATGTGATTACGAAGAGAAAGAGTAAACGTTGTACAATTGAAGTACTGAACGGGGAACGGATAGCAGAAGTTTGGAGCAAGAAGAAGAGGCTTCTTGCGATGAAGAAAGTTTAACGGAATACTTTGAAAACACTTCTTAGTATTTTAGTTTTGA